TTTAATCTCCTACATTGTTGTGGATTGCACATAATACTCACCTCTGCCCGTGGAGCTGCTGTGCGATCAGAAACAGGTAGTTGGAGTGAAACACTTTTACTGAAAAAAGAAGACAAAATGGAAGTAAATGCCTCTCTCTACTCATCAGAAATACCACACAGTCAATGCACTCTCTGCATTTTCATTATCACAAGAAGCAGGCAAAGCCACAGAGAAGCAGTGCGTGAGAATCTGTGTGCAGCACTGAAGTAAATGAACATAGATACAACCACATTGTCCTAGTTCTCTCAGTTTCCATACAGAGCAGCAGCAATCTGACGTCTGCTGCTGAGAACAGATGGAATTTTCAACATAGGCAGTAGCCTGGGCCTTCCTTCCACAACACTGCTCAGAATCCCAATCTGCCTTCTAGGTCTCCTTTTTTGAACATTTGTGGCATTCAGTTCAAAGTCTGCCATCACACATACATTTAGGGATTTATATACACATGCACTTTTTGCAGGGTTTGAGCTATGCAAAAAGTGAGTCCCTTTTTGGTATGTTCAAAGGAGAATTAATGCATGAAGGGTAATGAAGCAGACTTAGCAGTTTTCCAGGGGACTCCAATACTGCTAAGTAAGAGGGGCCCCTTGACAAAGAACAGGAACAAATGAAGTGCTCATTTTCATTTAGTGTTTCAGTCAGATCTCACTGAATGCAGTGCTAAAACTCACATTGACTTCAGCACTACAAGTCTATACCCTTAAGTTTGAACTGTATGCTCTGCATGTTGCCTTTTGATAAATATTGACACAAATAATTGTCAACAGGCAGCGCTTAGAAACATTTTTTGAAAAGGAAGCTACAACTTCAGTTTGGAATTTCCCTTTAATGCAAACACCACACATACTTTAAATAAATATACATTACTGAAAAGAAAAAATACCCAGTTTTCACCCTACCCCAAAGGTAACCTCTAGGACTTCAAGGATCCATATGGGATACACAGTGGTGATTATCAGCTCCCTTTCCCCACAAAACTGGACAGCATCTCTTATACCAAGCAGTGACGAAAAAACATGTCAATCACTTACACTCGGCGTGTCCGTGGGCGAAGCCGTCTCAGTCTCTTAGGCACCTGTTCACTATCAAAGGTTGAGTGGTAGAAGAACAGCCGCACCTCTTCATCCATCAACACCCAAATGGGTAGGCAGAGTAGGTTCTGTGCCAAGAGCAAGTAAGAAGCAGAGTGATTACAGTGGGAGAGACTAATTCTCTGTTTATTTGCATGTGTAACACATATACCTTGCTGACCTATAGGATCATGAAGGATATTCATCACTGCTAGAAATATCCCTACTCTCCTTCACAGTCAGCAGGACAAGGCTGAACAGTAATAGTTTCTCCTATTTACCCCTGAAGCTGGCTAATGTATCACTTTACTATTTGTGTCCCTAAATTAATGCAGAAGTAAATTGCTCCTTGTGTTTCCCTTTGGAGTATGAATTTCTACAAGAAGAGAAGGTAGCCTTAAGTAGCAAAAGACTGTGTCAGCGAGTTGTGGAAAGCTTCAGACAGTTACTGGCTTAAAGTCAGAGCTAGATAATCCATATACAAAAAAAAATCTTTCCCTGATGTTACTGGCTGTGTCTCCACTTCAAAGCAGGTGTATCTAGAAGCCCACTCCGCTTTCCTACTCCTTAGGGGCACATTCAGTGCTCACAGTGTTGACACCCTTTTATGGAGGACAATGCAATAGAGATAAGCGTATATCCAAGACTAGAGTGATTGATAATATTTATCTGAGTTGATTTAGCAAGCTAACTATCTGGAATGCTCAGATCAATCTCTATGTTAAAATGAATCTTTACCTTCATGTAGGCATTTAGAATAGGGATCCTGTTCTCAGCAATCTCCTTTTTGGCCCCAACATAAACCTTCCCTGGAAAGCATAAAACCAGCGACAGTTACTGAAGGAAAAAATAAAAATAAAAAAGAGGTTGTCATAAAAATGAAGCAATATGGAGAAGGTTGAAGTCCTGGATCTCCAGGACTTTAGTTATTTTCTAATGGATTTCAGGTTCTGAAATGGGCTTTACCATGTGTGGACGGACAGCTTATGCACCTTGACTTTGCTTCCCATCTTACTTGGCTGTGAACTAGTTCCTTGTCACTGCTGTAGTCCTGCATTCTTCCAATGTGATCATGTTTAGGAGAGGTAGGGACTGAGAAAACTACTACTCACATGCAGATTTTGAATTAACAGCTTACCTGGAAGCATGGGGAGTGTGCAGGTAAAAGGGCTATTTTTGCTCTCTGCCCCATATCTCTCCTCTAGTTTGGCATGAAGGGCATAGAACTGACGGTAGCGTCGGAAAATCAGATATCTGCTGCCACCTTTAATCTTCACTTCAATGACAAACATCTGAAACAGAGAAGAAGGATTCAGACTAATGTTCATATTTTTCAAGATTTACAAAATGAAAGTGAGGCATACAGTAGGAACATAACATCAGTATCTCGCTGGTGAGAATATTGTCTTAGGGGCAAAGTCAAAAATAAGCCTTCAGTTAAGTATCTAAATACTCAAGTACTAGAAAATAAGAAGATAGCACCAGACAATCGCATGTATAAAATCTAAGTTGCTGATGGATCATGTCTCTGTAGCTGCTTTCTATCACATATTCACAGTATCACCAAATCACAGGAAATCACAGAATACCTGAGCTTAGAGGGGACCTCTGGAGGTTATCTTTCACAATATCCCCTCTTAAAAGATGAAGACTTTACAACCTCTCTGGGCAACCTGTTCTAGTGCTTAATCAACCTCACAGTGAAGAAGTGTTTTCTTTTGCTCAGACAGAATTTCCAGAGTTTAGTTTTGTGCCTATTGCCTCTCATCCTGTCAGTGGATATCACTAAGAAGAGGTAATCTTACAAGGAAACCTGAAAGGACTAGGTTCTACTTTACTCTCACATATCTTCTTCTCTCAGAACTGACAAAATATATTAGGGAGGTAAATGCAAACACTCTAATTTGAAATATAAATAAATGAAGACATGAAGGAATCAAAGATAATGTTTTGTGGTAGGATGCTTAGGACATCTAAATCTCTAGGTAGGCATCTAAAGGAATAGATTTTCAGAGTTGAAACAATTCATATTTCCTCTGACTTTGAAGTATGTAATGTTATTTATAATTTCTGGTCTATATATTCTGACCAAAATCAAGGCCAGAAACAAAATGTCCTCTGACATCTAATGCCCTCTCTGACCGCTACATTATTTCATATCTCTCCCCAAAACTACTTTGCTGTAAGGGAACTCCTGATTCCCATGTACTGACCTTTGGGTCATGTTGCAGCCAGATCCTTCAGCAGATATAAACAGAGAGCAACTAAACATCATATATTCAAAAGTAAAACTTGCTTGCTTCGGCGGCAAAACTTTGTGAGCAGTGTCTCCAGCAAAAACAGCATACTTTGCAAAAGTTAGACTGAGCTGGTCTTATCCAAAACCCTTTTTCAGAAAACATTTTAATGCTTTTCCCCATTATTTCCTTCTTTTGTGTACTTGCATAACTCATTATCTGATCTAGATGCGATATCAAAGATATATTAGCCTCTGTGGAGATGAAAGTGTTCTAATTTGCCAGTGCCATGGAAAACGGAGCCAATCCCCTCCTCTCTCCCTCTTTGATTTTTTCCACTTCCCTCACCAAGGTCACAGCTCTCTAACAGGGAAGAAATAGGTATAGGTAAGAGGAGAAAACAAACAATATAGATATATTTCTGTCAGGTTCACCCAGAGAATAAATTTTTGGACCATATCTGTGACAGCGTAACTTTTGTTCCAGAAAATAGAAACTCTCGAGAACCTGTCAGCAGAGAACCATTCATGCCAAAAAGCAACTACACCAGGTTAACTGCCTCTTATTTTCCACAGTCAAGCCAGTCACAGCTGAGGGCATATAGTGACAAGATCATCCTCCTTTCTTACAAAATAATTAGTAAAGCCTTTCTTCTCTTCAATGTCTGCAATGTTAGCCGAAACAGGCACATCATCTGGAAGCTGGTCAAAGTCACTGTGAAGCAAGAACAAAAGATATAGGTTACTCAAACAGGCGTTGGTCTCTGGAAGTCTCTGTGCCATAGATATTAAAGATATATGGTTGTTTCACATTGTTAAGTGTCAAAACCAAGAAGCTAGAACTCTTGGTGTCATTCTCTTTCTCTAGAGGTCTGATCTTGAGATGTTAAGCTTCTGTTACTTTATCAGAAGTTAGCGGCAGTTGTAGGCCTCGTTAAGCCTGAAAATCAGCCCTAGTGCTTCTGATCTCATAAGAGTAATAGCGCTATAAATGGAAATTCTTGAGTTCGTAAGCTTTTCCTGAAAAAGGAAATCAACTGTGAATGCATTCTTAACTACTCCTACAGTGTCTAGTAGACTCAGAATAAACACTTTTGGAGCAGTATACTTTATTCTAAGGAGATAATTACACACCATAATTTATGCTATTATTAAGTACATTACTATAGGGAATAGTAAACAATTCTGGCACAAAGGTGACTTAAAAACCTTACACTGTATATGATACACAATGTACATTATAAGGCAAGAAACAACAGAAGGAAAAAAAAAAACAAATAAGAAAATGCAAAGAAACAAAGATATAATAATGCACTACTTCATAACTAGTGGTTCTGCACCAGCTGTCAAAAGGTTGTCAATATTTTTGTAACCATCACAGTAAAGAAGAAGAATTTTAAAGAAAAAGATCTTTGGAAAAAGAATGGCTAGGTACAACAAGACTTCACAAGCAGAACAGATAACACAAAGAAAACACAAAGATACTTGTTTGAAAATATCAAAACTGTATGAAGGAAGTGATTATGGGCATCATTAGAATTATTTTTACATCTCCTTAAAACTGAAGATGGACAGATTGTATCTGAAGCAAGAGAGAAGTAAAGATTCCCAAAGGAATGCCCAAAGAGCAGCCATATGACCAGATTCACGTATCATTCACACATCATTTCTCCACACAATAGCAAAACATGGATTGGCAGGTCATTTTCCTCTGGGATCTTTTCCTTGGCACAATATCTTTGACAAGAAGAGCACAAATTCACCTTTGCCTCAGCCTTACATCATGTTGCTATAGTGCTATTTCTATTAACGCCTAAGTAAAAAATCTGGAGGCAGAAGAGAAACTGTAAAAAAAGATCATCTAGGAAATGTCACACTGATTTAATGTCATATTTTCTGATTCCACAAAAACATGGCAGTTCTGCCATCAGAGTATCCCAAGCAGATTGCTTCCAAAATGGAGAGCCCATCTGGAAGGCTAAAGTAATGATGTAATGTCTTGCAATATCTGGTTGTACAAGGAAAATGACATGAATCAGCACCACCCACAGCACCATAAGTACCACCACTTACTGTGAAGAGGGATGTGGTTATGGAGATCAGGAGATATAATTAGTTATATCACAAACATTCATATCATGAGCCTCAGTGATAAGGAAACTCTATTTGCAGCTATAAAGAGGACAACGACCCACTATTGTCCTACATGATTAATATTCCTG